ATAATAATTATTTTTTATCTTTAAAAATAAATAAATATTTTTTATTTAAACTATATTATTATATAATTATTCTAATTAATCATCTAATCATAAAAACTCCTTTTTTATTTTCTTATTTTTTAAAAAAATATATATTATAAAGAAATATAAACATTATTTCAAAATCTATAATTTTTGTTTGTCCCTAAATTATTAATTTTCTGGAACTGATGGAAAAATACCGTACTATTTGATGGACAGGGAATTGAAACTTGGAAGTTGGAACTTGGAAGTTGGAACTTGGAAGACGGTAGTTCCAACCATCCTCCAACTACATCGCCGTCACCGTCATAACTTCATCTGCATCATTAATCTTCCCAAACTACTTCCTTGGCCATATCGCCCTCTCCTGAACATTCTCGACCCAGATTCAGTAATACGCTTTCACCATGAGGGAGGAAGAAACAGATCATACAATATTGCCGTCGAACTTGTCGGATGGATATCGGGAGTTCAGGGGAAGAGACAAGTTCCCCTCGACCACTTTCCTTACCATCTTAGCTCTCTCCATATGGCTTGGAGCTATCCATTTCAACGCCTTTTTAGTCCTTTTCTCGCTTTTCTTTCTCCCTCTTTCCAAGTCCCTAGTGTTCGTTCTCTGTTTCCCCCTTTCCATTTCAGTCAAAAACTACTAAAGTTTTCTCCTTTTCTTCTGGGTATATGATTCTTTTGTGATTTTCTTCAGGGTGTTTGGATTGCTATTGGTTTTCATGCTGATTCCTATTGACCCTTATAATAAATATGGCAGGCGATTGTCCAGGTACTGCTCCCTGTCTTCCTTCTGTTTTCCCTTTTAATGGTGAACGGATTTACCTTTTTTAGTCATTTCTGTTCTTCAATGAATTCCTATTGCAGGTTCATTTGTAAGCATGCTTGTAGTTATTTTCCCGTCACTCTTTATGTTGAGGATATAAATGCCTTCCATCCTGATCAAGCTTATGGTTTGTTTCTTTCTTAGTTCCTTATTAATTAATTCCCTGTATTTTCTAGTGTATTGGTTTATAGCTTAAGACACCTAACCTGTGAGATTTTGCATTCTATCCATTTGTTGAGTGCTTTACTTTAGCCACCGAGTTTAAAGATAATAATTTATTGTATTTGTGTCCACAACCCAATTTTATAGATGCAATAATTCTTTGAGGTGTGTGTATTTCCAGTTTCCCGGCAAGACGGAGTAAAGCTGTTTATGTATATATTATTGATTTCGGATTTATAGTTGAGTTTTATAGCATTAGGATATTGGGATCTTCGTAGTTCATCCCAAATAGTGCTTTTTGACCGGAAATCCACATTTTTGCTCTTTGGCTTCATTGAAGCTTTCTCATTAGCGAATCCCACCTTTACTTTAATAATCTAGAATTGTATATTAGCATTTTTCTGCTTCACAATTCTCCATGCTTTGCACATTTTCAAGGATTATCAGATATCCCAAATTTAAACCTTCTTTTGGAATGCTATGTTTCTTCCTTTAGAGTAGTTTATACTTGTAGTGAGTCCTTGTAGGAGGGCTGACAATGTGGTACTAGTTATGGTTGCCTAATTTTAGTAAGGCTTTTGATTCTTCCTTTTTAAATGGAACTTCTAAGTTTTAGCTAGCAGCCTAATCCTTTTTTTCCTTCTCCTTGTTTAGCAAGTATCAAAACATTAACTACTTTCTGCATCTTGCAGTTTTTGGTTATGAGCCACATTCGGTTTTGCCAATTGGTGTGGTTGCACTTGCTGATCTTACAGGTTTCATGCCCCTTCCAAAAATAAAGGTCCTTGCTAGTAGTGCGGTAAGACAATATACCCTAAATTGTCATATCCTATAGCTTTTATGGATAATTTCTTGATAAGATCTTTCTGTTTTAACACCTGTGAAATGAATGATTAGATATTTTACACACCATTTTTGAGGCACATATGGACATGGTTGGGTCTTGCACCAGCAACAAAGAAAAATTTCACATCCTTCTTGGCAGCTGGTTATAGTTGCATCCTAGTCCCTGGTGGAGTGCAAGAGGCATTTCACATGGAGCACGGTGCTGAGGTTTAATTCTGATTATTCTTCTTTATACTACTTTCAATCGGGTTGAATGATGTTTTCAAAGCTTAGGAATAATTGTTGTTAACTTTGGACAAGCTACCCAGGATTTTACCTAATTAAATTGGTTAATAGGTTTCAGCAAAGAGTATACCTTCCCAATTTAGAGCTAGAGTTATCACTATAACTGGTGAAATCAGTTGCCAAAATGTTATTAGAGTTTATTGTTAAATAGAAAATGCCACAGGATTCAAATCCTTCTTATAGCTATGATTATATTGGAAATTCAGTGACAGTTTGCTTCTTTTACAGACTGTTTTCCTTAGGACAAGAAGAGGGTTTGTCCGTACAGCCATGGAAAGGGGCCTGCCCTTGGTTCCAGTCTTCTGTTTTGGTCAGGTTTGGTCTCTTTTGAATCTCCACAAGACATACTCAAACCTTCCATTCCCCATATATTTTCATAATTAATTTGTTTAGTTTTACTTTTTTGTGATTCTGCCTTTTATTTAAGCTTCTTGCTGTTCACTCATTTGAACATTAATTGTAAGCAGCTATATGAATTAGTTTGTTGCAACTTTGGAATGTTGCTGTGATTTATCGCTTCAGCTTGTTATCTCAACCTGTTTCATTTGACACACACATTTCAACTTGCTTATTGTTACCTCTCTAACTTCTTATTTTGTTTGTTAATTATTTTTCTTTGTTCACAATAATGCTTCAGTCAAACATCTATAAGTGGTGGAAACCTAGTGGGAAGCTTTACCTGGAATTTTCCAGAGCTATCAAGTTTACTCCAATTTTCTTTTGGGGAATTTTCGGGTATGCATATATTCTCCTTACTTTTTCAGTTGTATTCTTCTGATTCACTGTCAGATATTTTATGTGCACCACATGCTTTCTTTTGCAGATCCCCTGTACCCAACCAACATCCAATGCATGTGGTGGTGGGTAAACCGATTGTATTGAAGAAAAATCCCCAACCTACCATGGAAGAGGTATTAATTCTTCTATTAATACTTCGATATTGAGTGATTAGGAGAATTACCACATCTAGAATATAGTAGTTTCATGCTGGCTGTAAAATACTGCTTCTTTGTTGTTGCTAAACTTGCATGTAATCTAATCACCAATCTGTGTCGCAGGTCAGTGAAGTACACAACCAGTTTGTTCGAGCTCTTGAAGATCTCTTTGAAAGGAACAAAGCTCGGGTTGGACATGCTGATCTTCAATTAAAAATTCTTTGATTTGAAATCAATTTGTTCTGTAATTGTCCCTAAATTATTATTGAACAAGTACAAGGTAAATGTAAGAACAACCTTAGTGAATGACAAAATATCTTACATTAATTCAAATCCTTGCAGTTATTTTGGACTCCAGGTGCAGGATAAACAGGACTCCAACCCCATCTAGGAAATTTGCAGCCCTGTAAATTCTAAACAGTTTTATTGCCTTCAAGGCTTTGAAGAATCAAGAGAGAAGCCACATGTAAATAGTGGACCAAAGAGTGAGGAAGAAAGAAGCCACAGCGTAAGTCCATAGCATGACGACAGAACATTCACCCTGGCCAGCGTTGAACAGTTGTGAAATTGTGCCTGTTGAGTTCAACGGAGCCATAAATAGATTAGAACTTGAAATTTTTTAGTGGTCATGGAACAGTTGAGAAAATGCCAACTTCTCTTGTTACAACTAGGACACAACTCATACCTGCTGTCATTGCAGGTGGAAGGGCATACTGCAGCATAAGAACAAATTGATACAAGGAATTTGATCCAACCATGCCAAAGTGGTATGCGGCTCTAATAACACCAATTCCCAGCAGAGGCAGGAATAGATACCGTACCACTATGATTCCTACAATCAGTGAAAATCCTACTTCTGATCTCTTGAAACCTGAAATGGAACTAATAAACTCAGGCATTAAGTAATACTTCTATTTTAAGTACAATCTAACTGTTTTGCCAATTCAAGGAGTAACTAGAATACGGTAACCTTGAAGAAGGTTTGCGCCCATTACGAGTGTCATGCAAGGAATTGTTGCCTTCCTACGTTCCAGATATCAAAACAAGGAAATACTATTAGTTTTTCTGTGCATTGTTGCGCATTATTTCAGGTTTATCTTCCAGGACTGAAAAGTGTGAAAATTCAAGCATGATAAAATAGTATTATATGAGATCTCAAGTATTGAAACCCAAACCAGAGAAGTGGTGGCTTACACACCCTAGCAAGGACACAGAACTATCTAAGAAGCGAAGAGGAGCAGTATCACCTATCAGTGTCTTTCTGATTGGAGAAACAGCACCAATAACAAAGCCAGCAATCTGAAGCAAAAAGAAGCACTATAGGCACTGAAATTCATGCATACATATAGGATGCAGCTGATGTGATAGTAAGATTTTATCATTTTAGCATACTGATGCAATTGTTGGTGGTGAAAATATCATCTTCAGATTCATCTTCTCTGCAATCCACTTGATGTGCTGAATTGTCTCCTTCCATGCTAGGATTTTCTGACACACACACACACAAACAAAAGAAAAAAAGAGAGAGAGATATTGATAAGATTCTGAACTAAGGAATGAAAATCGCCTTGACTGAAGACTATGTTTATGCATTTCTTACCCCAGAGCTGTAGGGCTTTTCAGCAGGGTCTGGATACTCATGGGCTCCAGAAGGTAGCAGAGTTTCTTTGAAACTCTCTGAAAATGTTTCTGCGGCCTCTCCATAAATGTTTATGCTGACTGTGGAATCATTCACATGAGTGTCTGTTTTCTTAACTGCATATACTCGCATGACGTTGTACACATATGACCATATATAAATTGCTCCTACCTGTAACATCGATATGCATAAAATGAAATCAACATAAAATCTTATGCCTAAAAGCATGGTAATACATTAAACAAGGTTCATGGTGGAGATTAGAGAGGAATGGATTGAAAAAACTTCATATAGATACCGCCATAGATAGGGAAGCATATGCCTCTCCATCAACCCTGCAGTCAAATGAATCACCAAATGGACCATTTGATTCCTCACAGACTGCTGGAATAATAATGAGAAGCAAATTTCCCAAGTTTCCTGATATGTTAAACAGGAGAGACAAATGTAACACGCGAAAAATGATGGAAAATGAATGAATAGGAGAAAAGAGAGTATGAAATCAATTCACCAGCAGAGCAGCAACCAATGACAAGGCCTTGAAGATGTGGAGGAGTTCCGGTGATTTTGATGAGGAGCCAAGCAAGTGCTGAACCAATTATGAATGTCAGAAGAATATTGACCGGCATGAACCACCTCAAAAGAAGAAAACATCATCCACAACACAAGGGTTAGCAAGACATGATTAGGTAGTTAACAGCAATGGCAGATAATCAAGCACAGGAACACGACTGACAAGCTAACCAAACTCTGGAATGTAATTGTTTCTGCCAGATTGCTAACCAGAATTGCAGGTCCTAAAACATAAAACACAATCTGAACATGAAGGGAAAAAAAAAAAAAGAATAGAAAAAGTGTTAATCAGTAACCAGAACTTGCAACGAATCAGACACTGATCAAATGAGTGCAACCCCTCAGCCACTTAGATGTATTCACTCACATTATTCAAGCGGTGCCTGGATTCTGGACCCAAGATATCCACTCGATCTAAGGAAAGGAACAAGCCAACAGCAGTGACCACCAGTACTTCTAGAACTGGCATCAGCGCCACAATGAACAGATCAAAAAATCCCATTGCAAAGATTCCTTTGCAAAATCTGAAGCAAACCCAACAATATTCGACAGGAAAAAGACAAATTTTATTAAGCACAGCAAGACATTTCCAAGCAGAACTCAGCAAATTGTTTGTTTATATATGCATGATTTTGTCAAAATTCAGGAATAAATACACTTCTCAAACTCAACTCCCTTAGGAAAACCAGTGCTGCTTAAATGAAGTCCGGGCAGTTGGGCTGCCAAGTCATTTTTCCTTTAAACTTTTTAAAAACTTATCTTCTACAAGATTATTTCTGAATTTTCACAATATTAATATTATAATAAAAGAAAGATAAAACTAATATTTTAAAAATTTATGTTTTTAATATAAAACTCAACTTATACTTTTTCTTTTAAAAACTTTCACTAAAACACTTTTTACATAGGTAGCAACATTCTTTTAATTAATTTCTTTACCATATATAAAAATTTTAAGAACTTTAACAAAACTTTTTAAAAAATATTATTATAAAATTTATTAAGTTTTTGTAACTCATGTAATATTTTCTTAATCACTTTTTTAACAAGACCTTTATTAATAAAATTGACCCTCTAAGCCTGAAAGTTTAAAGAGTTGTTGGAGAGTCCCCGTTACAATCATTGCTAAGTACATAGTTTATTTGAATTCTTTTTCTTAACTTATGAGTCAATAGTCATAGTGCGTGATTATGTTATTCTGAGTAAGCATACTCCGCGGTCATGTTACTGTCTTTCCTTTTTCTGACAATGAAGATTACATTATTATGTTCTTTTCAATTTTTTAAAACCTGTCTTGACATCCAGTTCTAGTTAGGCTGGATGGACTGATTTAACCGTTGTCTGACCACATGATGCATAAATAAATATTTTTATAAGAATTTATAATGAGAATAATGTTTATTTATTTTATTTTTTTTTAAATTAAAAAAATATTATTTTAAAATCACATCATTTCAATAAATATTTATTTTAAAAAATTAAAATATTATATTTTTAAAATATAAAATTATTTTTTATTTTATTTTATTTTTTAAAAATAAAACAGATAAACGCTTAATTTCATTTGCTATTTAACATTTTAAAATAGGGTTGTAAAACACTTTTGCCTCGTTCTTATAGAATTTATAGTAGCGTTTTTTTAATCTATATTTTTAGAGTGTCAATTAAAAATATTTTTTATTATAAATATATATAAAAATTATATTAAAAATAATATAAAAAATTTATAGCTATCCTCTTAAACCACGAGCCTTTGGGAACCAGGGAAATGGTGTTGGTGTCGGAGGGAGTATTGCATTGGGCCCTGGTTGGGCCAAGGTTTCAAAGGCCTGCTCCTCCAGCAACGCTGCTGCAGCAGAACAAACAACCTCAGTTGATTTCCTTGTACACGTGCGGCGTGTGCGACGAGCTCCGGCATCAGACAGCAGGAAGTGTCATAAAATTAGGGTCCTACTCTCCTTCCTTTGCTTGATCAAGTTTGAGCACAAAAGGCAGAATTTACCAGAGCTAGGACTGATAAAAAGGACAAAAATTGGTGGGTTCTTAAGATCAAGATTCAACCTTTCGAATTCAAAGCAGGTTTCTTTCTCTTTCTTCCTTCATTTCTGCTGTTCTCGTATGTATATATGCATTCTGTATGCGTTAGAGAATGAATTGAAGAGAACAAATTTTGGCCCTTTTCCCCCTAGGAAATTGTCATACTTGTGTAGCTAGGGACAAGACCAATTGTTTTATTGTCATGCAAGTGGGTTTTCTTATTTAGACTCTTTTGAAGTGAATTTTTGTAATTTTGTCACCTCAGCTATGCTTAGGGTTTCTTAAATGATTGGCTCTTTGCTCTAGAGGACTGGAGATTGTTGTTAGAGTTAAGGAAAACATTTTTGTTTTGGATTTTGCCTTTGTTTTTATTTTTTGTTTTGTTTTTTTCAAGCTAAATGTGTTTCCTTGTGTTATTGTGGTTATTGTGGTTTTAGGAGTTAGGTTTTGGCTTATAAGGAATCAAGTATGAGTGATACCAAGGAAAATGTCGATATGGGACAAGGCGTTCTTGGTGCTTTGAACAAAGAAGACCAGCCCATTAATGCTGAAACTGAGGAGAATCATGATATTCCTTGCAATGTACCATTGGAGGATGACTTTGTTCGGTCTGGAAATGGGAGTGGAAACTCAACACTGGAGAGTGCTGAGAATATGATTGTGGTTGAGAATGTGGAACCACATCCCAGTTCAAATCAAGATTCCCGTAGCTCTGTACCTGTAGAAAAAGAACCTGCTTCAGTTAAACCAGCTGTAGAAATTCCAATTGATGTTAAAGCTGCAGGCAATGAGGTTCCTGATTCCAGAACAGGTATTGATGGTCAACAGGACACCTCTGCTTCTACCAATCATCTTGAAACTGCTGAACCCATAAAAGATGTTAAAATGGAAATTTTACCTGAATCCCATGAAAAAGCCACAATGGATGCCAAAACAGAAGCTGCCCTAGAATTACCTCAAAGCACACTCATTGGTGATATTGATACCTCATCTACAAAGCGTAATGAAGTTGAAACTGAACCAGTTACGCCTTGCGCTGCATCTTCTGATGCAAAAATGGAAAAGGAGAAGGTAGAAGATTTGAAGAACAGGGTGGATAAACCTGACTTGTGTGGAAATATGGTTAATGGGAACACCAATATAAAGCACTCATTTCTCTGGGATGGTACATCTGATTGCAGCGAAGCGGGAACAGAAGAGGAGCAATTGGCATTTATGAAGGAGCTGGAGAATTTCTTTAAGGACAGAAGAATGGAATTTAAGCCTCCTAAATTTTATGGAGAGGGATTGAATTGTCTTAAGTAGGTTCCTATTGATATTTGCAGTATTATTTTTATTTATTTGCAACTAAGATATGTTTTGGGAATTTCCATATAGCTAACATGTATTTGCATTTTACGGGGATTAGGTTGTGGAGAGCTGTTATTAGACTGGGTGGCTATGATAAGGTAAACCTTCTTTATCTTCACTTAGATAAAGATTACAGTTTATAATTTATATGCATTGTGCATTGTAAAACTTGCATAATAATTACATTTTGTTTTAGGTGTCTGTAAAATTAATGAACACAGCTTGACCGTAGCTGGAAATTCCCCTATTGATTTATCTATTAAACTGTGGAAGTGAAATGATTTTTTCCCTTTGGTTCCAACACTCTTGTCCAGCCAATAACATGTACTCTTTTGTAACATTGTTTTTCTTCTGTAACTGACTCAAGGCACATCTGTTGACTGAATTTATATTAGATATTTACTTTATATTGATTGACATTTGACAGATTATGGTTGATTGGGGAAACCTGTTTGGTTGTCTTTTCTTTTCTTTTCTTTTCTTTTGGCACAGTTGATCTTCTAATTAGGCCCAAACTATCATTGTATTCACTATGAATTGAATCCTCTCTGAATCTTTGTGATAAATCAGACAATCTTAGGAAACTTATGTTAAATCAGCAAGTCTTTTTGCTGCACTAGTTTTTGTTTTATGCTTTGGCCTTATTAATATAGTCTTCACATTTAACCTTTTAAGACCACTCTTTTGACTTTGTCATTGTGGATCTAAATCTAGCTCTTGATTATGGATAGGTTACTTCATGTAAATTGTGGCGGCAAGTGGGCGAGTCCTTCAAACCCCCGAAGTAAGGAATAGTTGTAATCTGAATGTCATTACTTATCTTGCAAATGAAATTCAAACACTTCTAAAACTTTTCTTTAATAATGCGGCGTATTATTTAGTTTAAAATCACTGATCAGCTATAGTTCTTCAGATCAAATTCTCTTGCTACTTTAGAAAGTGAAATGCTCTGTTTTCTTTGTTTTATTGGTTGTTCTTCTATCTATGCATACTAATTTCTACATACCTCACCTCTCTCGCGTTTTCTGTACGTAGGACATGTACTACAGTTTCATGGACATTTCGAGGTTTCTATGAGAAGGTGATATTTGAGTTATGAATCTTGCATAGTTGCATACAAAACATGAAACTCTTTGCATTTTGTTGTGTTTATTAATATTCCCAGACAGTGCACCTCTAGCTTTATACCAATTTATACATCTCACCCTATGTTATGGTGTACTGATTATTTTTTGTATTCTTTAGGCACTTCTTGATTATGAAAGGCATAAGGCAAATAGTGGTGAGCTTAACATACCTGTTGCTTCTCCCTCAGGGCCAATGAATGTAGATAATCAGGTACTGTGAACTTGTGCTATTCAGATTTTTCTTCAAAATGAAATAGATTGTAGATGGAGTTATATTGTAGCCAGTTTAAGTCCACCCAAAAATATTAAACTTCTAAGAAAGTTGCCTACCCATCTCATTTGCCTCTAAATTTTATGGTGATCTATGTCTATGTAGTAGAGTTAGTTTTCACATCTCTTCTAAGAAGTGACTCTTGAGTTTGCACATTCTCCTTCTTAGTTATTAATCCTTTCACTTTCAATATTCTTTATAATACTGGCTGTAATTAGGGTTCGGGATCAGGTAGAGCACGGAGGGACGCAGCAGCCCGAGCTATGCAGGGTTGGCACTCACAACGCCTTACTGGAAATGGTGAAGTTGGTGATGCTGTAAATAAGGTGGGTTGAAAGTCAGAAATGTTTTCTGTCCCTGCGTTTTTTCTTCAATTAAAGTTAGAAGGTTCTACTTGTCTTCTTCTAATATGCTTTAAATGTCTAATCTTTTGTTTGTGGTACCATATCATGACAGTTTATCTGGATTTTGTAGGATAAGAATTCTGTTCCCATGCAAAAACGTGAAAAACAGCTTAAAAGCCTTGGTATTGCCTGTAAACTGCATTTTAATTCTTGGAATCCCATAGCTGAAAAAGGTCTTCTAAGCTTGAATGTTATGTAGGTTTGCTTAAACGTAAGAACCCTTATGACGAACAAGTTGTCAAAGCAGCCCCTACCAAAGTATCTAAACCACAGTTAAGATCCATTTTTCATGGATTTGTCTTTAAGCTGTCGTGATTTCTCTTGTTCTCTTCCATTCTTTCTATGAAGTGAAAATATTTGTACCTTGCCACTTCAATTAAACTTAGTTTACTCCTTTATATTGTTTTATTTGGAGCCAGATTGGACACAGCAGTGGTTGATATTGGACCCCCAGCTGATTGGGTTAAGATCAACATACAGAAAACTGTAAGTTTATGCGGATACTTAACTAGGAAAAAGGCAACATGCATTTCTACATCTTATAAGTTTGACTTGCTGTTGTTTGTAGAAGGACTGTTTCGAGATATATGCGTTAGTTCCTGGTTTTCTTCGTGAAGAGGTAAGTGGCCAAGGACTGAAATTTATTCTTCTTTCATTCTTTTGTGTTAGCATGACTGATAATATTCTGGTGGACGTTGCTTAGATAGTCAATGAACTCAGTGTCTATAATTGTTACCTGTTAGAAAGTCTCTGAACTTGCCTTATGTTGTGTCCAGCTTCTGTTGGTGATCATGGTTAGTAGTGTCCAGGGTCTTAATTTTCTAGTTTGTTAGAATCTTTAATGTACCTTTGTCCCATTCAAACTTCTATGTAAGGAGAGAAAAAAAAAAAAAACAAAAACGAAAAAAACTCTCTATAAGCTGTCAGTAGAAGCTGTTGAAGATGCAGCTATATAGCTTTTCTGCTTCAAAGGGCTGGAGAAAGCTAGTCTGGAAAAGGATTTGGCTTCATGGGAAGTTGTGGGGGAGGATGACCTAAGAAAGACAGGCAAAAGAAAACTAATTTGAGAAGTCCATGAATTTGGGTGTATGGAAATCCATGACAATGACTTGAACTTTGCTATCATCTCTCTTTTCCTTTTTATCCTTACATTGGTGTCTTGCATGTTCAGGTGCGTGTTCAGTCAGATCCAGCCGGACGCCTGGTTATAAGTGGCGAACCCGGATATGCTGATAATCCTTGGGGTGTCACTCCGTTCAAAAAGGTGCGTACTATACAAGGATGAGCATTATAGTAATCTTGGAGGGCAATTTCAGTGAAATATGTCAAGTTAGCTAAATTGAGATTTTCTATTTTGAGCATTTTTTATTTCAATGTATTTTATGTTGCATGTTGAATGTGGTTTCATTCCTCCTCATGCGTTGGCTGTGTCATTTTTACATTGATCAAAATGAAGTTGGCTTTAATATTGTCTATCAAAAGGTATCCTTGCTGTCATCAGCATGTTATTTATCAAAACTTAAGAACTTCGATGTCAGTCAACCCTTCAAAATTGAGCACTCTCTATATTCCATTTAACTGATACAAAATGCTAGTTTTGTTACATGATTAGACATAGAGCATGCTATAATTTCATTTTGTGATGCCAGGTCGTCAGCTTGCCATCAAGAATTGACTCGCATCACACATCAGCTGTGGTCACTCTTCATGGACAGTTGTTTGTTCGTGTTCCTTTTGAACAATTGAACTAGCATATCATATCAACTCTGAAGGTGCCTAACTCTACCCATTTCTCAGTCACTGGGGACGTTGGTTGTGGAGCCAAGCCATCCATTACAATGCAAACGCTCTGCAGTTCATGTCATCAGTTTTGAAGATGTTCATCACCAGGTTACAGTGAATCACTAGTTCTAGAATTCTATTCCCTTTACCCTTCCTTTGGTTCCTAATGTAAAATATAGAAATTAGATGAATTTTATAAACTGAAGATATATATATATATACATACGCCCCCTGTATTAAGTGGAGGTTTATCAAGTGGCATGTCCTTTCTATGTAGCTGGTATGTGAAAAGTCCTGAGACTCTTGACCATTGTGGGGGAGGGTAGTGACCATTGATTCTTCCATCAGAAATGAATTACTTCTTCGTAGTCATGGCAACCACCATCCTGCATTAGCGGGTGCACTGTGTTGGGGCCAAATGTCAAAGTGAGGCAGGTTTTACACCATTAGCACATGCCAAGGTTGTTCCGCTTTCGGTGTCCTTAATGATGGTGTTCCAGTTGGACCGGAATCCACAAGTTGGAATATTGCAACAACGGTTTGAAAACGATTCCACAACTTTGTCTTTTCGGAAAAATTTCTTTGTGATGGGTTGATTAGACTTTTATTTTAAATTAACTGAAAGTGAATTTTTAAGTTTTATATAAGTAAAAATATTTTAATTAAATTTTTTATAAGTGTATTAGAATTTTTTTAAAAGGTTTATAATATTTTTTTGATAAATAATTAAAATATTAAATATTCATTAATTTTAATTAAATTAAAATTAAAATTTTAGAAAAGAATAATGAGTATTATTTTAATTAATGATTTTTATTTTAATAATTGAACTTAATTTGAAATTTTAATTTTAATTACCAAAAAATTGATTTTTTTTTTTTAATATAGCTCATTCAATTAACACATTTCTTTTAATCTTTTTAAGCAAAAAGAAAAAAAAAAGGGTTCCTTTTATAATTAAAGTGATATTTTAATTAATTAAAATTTGAACCAAATTTATTCAAAAAAATTTATTTTAAATACTGAGTGATTTGAGATTGAATAAAATACGTTCATTTCTAATGATGAAAAAAATATTGAGAAAGTTGTGTAGAGAGATTTTTTATTGATAGTTTCTAATTTTGTGGTAATTTGTTTAACTAATATTAATAAAATTTAATATTTTAACTATTACATCTAAAAAAAAGTATTATAGACATTATAAAAAGAATATTGATTAGTACACACTCTAATTCAACACACTATACAATACATTTATTAAAATTATTTTTAGTTTGAAATTAAAAACAAACAAGTTTAAAAATACAATCATACACATAAAATGTAAGAACTGACTAAATTGATT